AAGGCCCGAGCGGTTCCCAGCCGCTGGGCCTGCCGAGCCTCCCCCCCCAACGACCAGAGCATTTTCTGCGCATGCGCAGGAAACACTATTACTTTGGGGGGATTTAAATAACCCCCGTATATTTTTTCAACTTTTTAGATTTTTCTGCACACCTGGGGACTGCTCCAAGTGTGCAGGAAAATCTCTCTGCCCCCCAAGTGCCCCCAATGTGTGGATTTAGATATCCGCACGGAGGGGGCAACTTGGCTATTAGATATATAGATGATTGTCCGTTTTTATGCTTTCAGTAAGATAGGGAAATCACCCCACCACCCCACCTCGGCATCCCCCTGCTTTAGCTTGGGGAATAATTTAGCCTAAATAGGCATATATTTAAAATACAGGCATTTCTGTGCAAGATTTACCACCAGTTTATCTACTGGTTTGCCTGTTCTGATTCAAGCATCATGCCCCAATTTTAAGATATTAATCTGCCTTGCCTAACATTAAAGTTGGAGCAACACACGGCTATTTAAAATATTCTAGTTTGATTCAAATAATGACGAATAATGATTATCCATTAGGATAGCTATAGGAATTACTAAACTTATTAAAGGAATTAAAGTTCTGATTCTTTGGAGACTCTGCTAATGTGAAGGAAGGGAAACTAAAATGTGCACTCTCACATGCTATGAATTCAGTACTAATATTTAGCTGAAAGGAAGACAACCCTGAAAGTAAAATGTGATTGCTAAAAACAATTTATACACAAAATATGTTTTATTACGGTACATCACTGTAACCTCCATGTGAATTTCAGATGGTTCCCCCCTTTTTTCCTCATGACACATACAAGAAAAAAATCTAGTTCTTTTACATAATTAGAGTAATTCCATTTAACCCCTTCATTCATTTGAGCTATAGCAACACATTGGATTGACCCATATAGACAGGGGGAAATATATAGAAACCTGTAAGTACTCTGCAGTACAAATCAAACCTGATGCATAAGAAATTCTACACTTAACAAGATCAGAGGGAAGGCACAGACCATTGTTCCTATTTAAATCAGTATCATATAATAATTTCCCAACAACTTCCTTTATCTCAGTTCATATGGGACTGTATTTAAGAAACTCACAGAAAACCTTTGCTCACACTTCCCCACCCTTTGCAAAGCTTAAATGTTTATTGTACTTTATACTTCGGAATCTTATTTATTTTTTCCAGCCCGTTAGGGCCTTATAAATGGCTAATTTTGTACTTTGGCTCCTTGGTTTTTCTATTTTTCCATATAGTTAGAGAAATGGTAAAGTGTGAGAGAGCTGTTTCCAATCTCTTCCCACATACAATTCCAGCAGGGAAAAATGTTTAATTTTTTTGGATTAATCCCCCAATGAGCATCTGTGTTGTTTGCATCTACCTCTTCCCATCTTCATATCAACTAAACTTTACATGGGGATAAGGATCACTAAAGTAGTCCTTTGTAGGAAGTCTCCTTT